TAGCATAAATGATCTCACTATATTGAATTGGGAAGAGTCATCTGTGTCATACTCAATTATGGTAAAATATTCAGTTGGAAAAATGTTTTCGTGCTTTAAATGGCCTTTAATGTGAACCTTGATTGTGCATCTGTTTTACAAAGCCTGCATTCACTTATTTGAGCAACACTACTATCAATTATGATCACCTTTATGTTGGTTTTAAATATATTAGTCGATAATTAATTTCAAGCTGTTTCTTCCGATATGTTGATGTTTTTAGGTTGAAATGGAATCCATCACCGCTTTGCTTTTTGTAGAAGACGGCCAAGTTTCAAAGACCCTTCTTTGAAGTTGTTGCTCAAGTGTTGCCAAAATCAAAATTTCTTCAAAATATTGGCCTTCACTAGCAGCCCCCAAGAGAAGCTCCAAAGCCATTAATGATGCACGGGTTATATAACTTGAAGCGAAGTTGCAATTTGAAAAGCAAGACAAAAAGAACTAAAGGATGAGATGGAGACTTTGAAGAAGAAGGTGGAGGAATCAGAAAATGAAAGACGCAGGCTGTTAGAAGAGACAAAGCAGTTGAAGAAGGCACAAGATGAGTTGAAGAAGGCACAAGACGAAACGGATGCTTTCTTTCGTCGCATGTTTAGCAAAGAGTAAGGCCATTCCTTTAACTCTCGTAAGTCTGCAGTGCATATGGTTGGACATCTGATTTTAGAACTTGGCTACTCAAACCATATTATTTTATGCTACAAACATTTGGTAGTGCTATTATATGAGACTTGGCTGATCTATTTCAGATTATTCTACAAACATTGGTAGTGCTGTTATTTTGAGACATGTCTGATCTCGTTCAGACCATATTAATTTATGTTATGTATCTTGTTAGTGTTATCTTTTTGCTATGTGGAAACGTGTTATCTGGAATTTGTAAAATTACTGATGGATGTGACCATATTTATCTTATCCTTTGGAATGAGATCTGGATGATCGATGAATGTGTATGGGTTGTGATGCATCTACGGATTATATATGTGAATGAGATTCTGGATGATTTGATGAATGCGTAAGGGCTTTGATTGATGAATGTACAGATTATATATGGGTTGTTATGTAATGGATGTCGAAATGGACTGTTATGTAATGGATGCTGAAATGGGTTGTTATGTAATGGAAGTTGAAATGAGTTGATTATGTATGGATGCTGAAAAGGTTGTTTTCTCTACATGTTTAAAAGGGCTAGGCCTTTTCTGACCCACTAAATAAATAGGCCACAAAAAATGGCCTAGAAATTGATGTTAATTTTACTTATATAAATGGACTTTGTAAATTATAAATTTGGCTCACAATTATATTTGGTCCAAAAAAAACCTTCTTAGTACATGGGCCTAGCTAGGCCTTAAGATATTTAGTGACGACTTTTTAATCGGGTCGTCATAAAAAATTATGATGAAAAAATATGCAGTCGTCATAGAATAAGGTTTACCATGCATGATCTATGACAAATGGTTTATCGTCATGCAGTCGTCATAAATACATCTATTATGACAAAAATACTAGAAATAATGATGATAATAGGTCGTCATAGATCCTAAGGTTTCTTGTAGTGTCGATTGTTTCCGGTAGTGATAGGTGGGTGGCTGCAGAGTGGCCCACTACTATAAAAAACGTTTGTAGCAATGGAATAAATTTTTTATAGGAGCGGTTGGTGATGGAGCCGTCCCTACAGTGGTCATGCTCGGGACCCACGAGACCAACCGCCCCTACAAATAGCACAGTAGGGGAGGCTGATGATACAAGCCGCCCCTACAAATGGGTCAATTTGTAGGGACGGCTCACTCACCAGCCGCCCCCGGTGTTGCGATTTGTAGGGGCGGCTCAATCACCAGTCACCCCTACAAATCACACTTGTTCATCATTGATCATCATAAATAGTTATAATTTTTCTTTTTAATCTCTAGGTAAAATTTGTAACTAGTGTTTCTCCCTCATACTAACTCCAAATGTGATGATTTTTTTCCTAAAATTTTCTAAAATCATGCCCTATCAAGTTACTGTGTTGATTTGGTCATTCTTTTTGTTTGACAAAGTTTGAGCAATTCAAAATTTTAAATTTAAAAAAATAATAAGTTCTAACAAGATTTTGAAACACCAAATAATTTCAGCTGAAAAAGTGATGAATACCAAAGATGTATAACTCATCAAGATCTATAACTTTTATTTTGGTTATTTCTTCATCTGACAAAGTGATAGTAAACATTATTCACAAATCAACATATCTCTCTTATAGTTCATGAAACTATGAGTGATATGTGAATTTGTGAACAATGTTTACTAACACTTTGTCAAATAAAGAAATGACCAAAATAAAAGTCGTAGATAGTGATGAGTTCAACACATGCATACACGTACACTAATCTAAATTAATCACCACACTGGAATAAATTCAGAAAAATAGGGGCAACTATATCGTGACTAACACGGCCGGCCAGGTTCAATTCACAAATACGGTGTGTTTGGTTGGGTCCCCAACTCCTATATATGCAGGCTCTAGTTAACAATTTTTGACCTGTTTGGTCGCCCGATTGGGCTCGTTAGACAGGCCTGCTGAAGCCACCGACCACCTGTTAGTCAGGCCAACCGGGAACGAGATGGGCGGCCATTTTCGAAGCAGGCCCGAGGTTGCCCTTTTATCTGCTGGCCTCACCTCCCGTTGTGACACAAAGCAACCAACCAGACGTAACATTTCTTATACTAACTAAGCTAGGTCATGCAACCAAACAGGTGCATCTTGTATTGTTGAAGTCGGGCTTGAGCTAACAAGGCTTAATTGGCTAACCAAACACACCCATATTGAATATCTTTGACTGACCCCCTCTATGTATAATTTTAGGCTCCCTCAAGGTTTTGAGGATACACTTGCTACGGTTCTTGGATATGTTATACGCTATGAGGAGCTCAAGGACCCTTTAGTACACTCTTGCCAGCTTTTGCAGCTAAGGTCCATGGAGTTCTTCGCCTCCCACATATGTATTTTTACTTGGTTGAAAATTAGTTATGTGGCATTCAAAGAACCTTAATTTTGGAAAATACCATCGAAGGACCATTTAGAGATAACTAATTGTCAAGTGATGTGTCTTATTCGAAGATATTTGAAGTCAAATTTTATTCATTATCTAAAATATAACAAAAACATTTTTCCAATAAACACACATTACAATAACATCAGTATTAAAAATTATAATTTCTAGTAGAAATATTATGGACCTTGTTTATATTTTTTCACATTATAATTTCTAGTAGAAATATTATGGGCATTGTTTATCTTTTTTTTCACACCGAGCGCACCCTCTTTCCTCCTAAGAGCATCTCCAAGAGTCTTTCTAAATCTCACTCTTTAAATCATCATTTGGAGAGCCATTTGCATAAAAATCGCTTTCTATATCTTTTCAATCTCCAACAGTTTTTCTATATCTCATGCGCACTCTAGAGAGTCATTCTCATCTTCTATTTTTGGCAAGAGAAAAATCTGGAACAGAAGATGGCTATATTTGGATGATCATTTAGAAGAGCTGTTGGAGGGTAGTTTTTCACCAAAATCTCTATTCCTATCATTTAGGAAGAATATGGAGAGTTTCTTGGAGATGCTCTAATAATTATAATTGGTGAAAAATTGCTCCCTCCAAATATCCATTCACCTTTCCCTCCAATTAATCGGTGAAATTGTTTGACTCCCGCCATATTGCATTGGACATCAACATATATATATACTCCACATGGAGTCCCTTCCATCATCTATGGATCTACCAAACAATCAAGCTAACTGATGGAGAGAAATAGGCGACCACAAAGGTGCACTGCGTACTACTACTAGTATTTCTTTTTCTTTCCTTTTTTTGCCATCGTCATCATTATTAGCCACCCATGATTACTCCTGGTCAAAGCGGCTGCCAAGGCCATGTATCGCCATGGCGCACGCCCAGATGCCTCCGGTGGCTAGCTACCCCACGGATCCATGATGTCGATGCTGCAAATCACCACCGCCGTCACCAAGGCTGCGGCCACCACCACAACCACCGCCACCAAGGCCGTCGCTGTCGTCGCCGCCTCGGCCACCACTACTGCGGCCACCACCCCTGCCGTCATCACAGCCATCGCCATCTCCACACTACGAGAAGATGCGATGCCTCCAATTCCATACTGATATCTTGATTTTCGATCTATGAATATGCATCACATCCATGCCATATTTGTGCTAGACACCAACCTACGACATCCATGCCTCCAGCCTAGTCCAACTTTATATTTCTCAAATTATTTTTTTGACAGATTGTTTTCAACCTTTGTATGTCTCAAATTATTTTTTGTCAGATTGTTTCTTTTGGTAAAATATCCATTAATTTGATGGCTATGTTTCTCCATCAATTCCATTGTTGTTTCGTAGGGAAAATGGCTCCACGGGTGCCTCGATGAACAATTGCTGAAATGGATAGAGAATTTGATGAGCTTGCCTCTGCTTTATCCAAAGATCCAAGGGACCAATTGACCTCTGGTATAGATTTATTTTATACATTCAGCACCACCAAATATTTCTCAGTGTAGAAAATCTGATGTATTGTAGCATGTTGCATCAAAAGGAAGTTAAGAAAGCTACTTGACATATTAGTACTGATAGCGATTCCATTAACAATCTCCACGAGAACATGCAAATTCTTAACTTCTTATTTAATTGAATGCACCATTACTTGTTCATAGATCCGAACTAGAGCTACTATGAACGAACACATGGGGTTTGTGTTCCTGCCGGTGTCAAAAATCCTAGTTACTTGCAACTGTGTTCACTTGCATTGGTTGTGTGTTGATGGTACAATAAAAGATAGCCATTTCTGTTGTGTTTAGTTATGTAAAATTTACAAAATGCCAATTTTTGTTTCTACAGGTGAAATAACAACCAGGTTACGTTCATGTGGCTCTCGAACTAACATGCACGTGATCAATTGGATTCAGATGTGGCCATGGATCAAAATAATCAAATAAATGATGCAGCACACAACATTGAAGGTGTTTTGCAAATCTGAAACCTGCTTCTTTACACCATTGTTTATTTCGCTGATTTAGCGAGGCTCTGTTATGATGATCTACATTTATTTCTTTATATGACATAATAACAAGTGCTACATTTAGCATGTCACAACCTGTTATACTAATCTAAAATTTGATTCTTGACACTATAGAGTACAAACATTACATTTAATTACCCTTGTTCTTTTCCCTAAATTAACTAGGCCCCGCTAAGAGTGGAAGAAAAGTTACAATTAATAATCAACTTCGCAAGAGAAGAGCAAAAGGAAAGCATATTGATATAAAGTTCCCTAAAGAATTTGCAAAAGTGTGTGGACAACATGCTAGTTTATTTAAAAGTGAGATCACAGTTCTTGTAAGAACTATACCACTCCAAGTGAAGATGTGGAGGGACATGGATAAGTTTCATGCTGGAACTACTGTAGATGTTTGGAGAAAACTAAAGGTGACCTACTTTTCATATCAAATAAATATATTTGGCATGCAATGGTTATCATTGCATTCGGTGGCTGCTTATTACATCATATCTTTGTTGTACAGCAAAAGTTTCCTGAGCTTTCCGAAGAAGATAAAGATTGTGCCATGAGACAAGTAGAGAGTCAATATAATAATTGGCGTTACCGTCTGCTTCAAGCTTACCGAAACAACAAGCCAAGGCAACAACATGTCTCACCAGAAGATTGGCAATGGTTGATAAGGAATTTGTGGACGGATGATGATTTTCAGGTACATACAACTCATCCTAAATTATAGTCCTGCATAATTATTAATGAAAGAGTAAATTGCACGGCCGGTCCTAAAAGTATTGGGCTGATTTCGTCTGGGTCCCCAAACTATTAAATCGCACAGTTGGCTCCTCAATCTACTTAATCCAGCCCATGTAGGTCCCAAACAGCCTAAGTGGTGTCAAGCAGTCAACGTGGCTGTACACGTACGCCCAAGCCCCCGGTCGGCCACGTCCCCGTCCCGGCAGCCGCGCCCCCAGGCCCAGCCTCGAGCCCAGTCCCGACGTGGTGATGGAGTACCGGTCCCGTGCCCTCGAAGGCGGCGTCTCCCGCACGCACGAAGCCAGTAGCCGCGCCGCGCCGCTGGTGGCCGCGCGTAGCCCTGGCAGCCGCGCCGCTCATGATCGGCGCCCGTGCGTGGCCCTGGCAGCCGTGCCCCCGCTCGTCCATAGCTCGCAGGACCCGGCCGCATGGCAGCTTGTGCTCGAAGGCGTACGCAGCTGCGCCCGGTGGCCACGCGCTCGCCCCATGCCCCAGCGGCCAAGGCAGCTCCCGACGGTGCCCACATCCGGGGAAGGCCGCGCTCACGAGCTCCGGTGACTGCGGCCCAGCTTCCCTCCCCCACGAGCTCGACCGACCGTGCCCAGGCAGCTCCTGGCGTCGCATCTTGGCAGCGCACACGGCGGCGCCTCACGAACACGCCTAGTAGCTCCAGGCGGCCACAGCTTCCCTCGCCCCGGCAACCCACTCGCACGCGATGGCGGCTGCTGTTTGCCAAGGACTACGATAGGGACATGCTAGAGCTAAGGCTGTTCTGGCAGAGGCTCGGCGCGTGGTACCTGGCGATGCGTGAGCTCGCCGCCAGGATTCACGCGGCGTGGAAGGAGGACCAATGGCTCCTGTCGCAATACCTTGACGAACGGAGGAGCCCGGGCTCACCAGAGCCGCTGACGCGGAGCGAGCACCGGCTGGCCGACCTCTTGACCGCGTCGCGCGGGAATGTGCACCCGGCGTCCATGCTCCTACAGGGCGACTTCCATGTCCGGAGGCGGTTGGTGGGCAACCACAAGGAGGTGCAGTGGATGGGGGAGGCCTTCGCGGTGAAGCATTTCGTCGGCGCCAACGCCGTGGGCATCGAGGCCGCGCTGCTCACCTCCGTGGCGCACCCAAATGTGACGCACTGCCGGTACTGCTTCCACGACGAGGATAATCGTTGTGCCATTGTTGGCATATATGCACGCAGAGGGGTACTACTGGGCGCGCACGGTGGAGCGGCAGGTGTCGCGGATGCGGGAGCGGTACCTGCGGCGGTGCTCTGGCAGGACGTGGAGTACTTTGACCTCAAGGTGGGGTCCACATCGGAGGTGATCACCAGCGTCTCCAACGACAGCCTCGTTATGCAGGACATGCTGAGCAAGAAGGTGCCCAACTTCGTGATGAACTACTCCATGTTCCTGGGCAGCTACGCCATCGGGTTCGCGCTACTGTGGCACCTCATGCTGGTGGCGCTGCCGTCCGTGCTGCTGCTCATCATCCCCGGGTTCATGTATGGTCGCATCCTCATCGGCCTCGCGCGCCGGATCAGGGAGCAGTACACCCGCCCCGGCGCCATCGCCGAGCAGGCCATCTCGTCTATGTGCACCGTCTACTCGTTCATAGCCGAGCGCACCACCATGGTGTAGTTCTCCGCCACGCTCGAGGAGTCAGCGAGGCTCGGGATCAAGTAGGGACTTACCAAGGGCATCACCATCGGCAGCAACGGCATCACCTTCACCATCTGGGCATTCAACGTCTGGTACGGCAGTCGCCTCGTCATGTACCACGGATATCAGGGCAGCACCGTCTTCGCCGTCTCCGCTGCCATTGTCGTTGGTGGCCTGTACGTGACCGTGATTTTATCATCAGCCTGCTCTGCTGCATGTTACTCCTAGTCCTAGATGATGATGTGATGATGGCGCCATTAACGAAACCATGCAGAGCTCTGGGGTCCGGGCCGTCGAACGTCAAGTACTTCTCCGAGGCGAGCTCGGCGGCGGAGAGGGTCCAGGAGGTGATCTAGCGGGTGCCCAAGATCAACTCGGACAGCAGCGCTGGCGATGAGCTAGCCAACGTTGCCGGGAAGGTGGAATTCAAGAACGTGGAGTTCTACTACCTGTCGCGCATGGTGGCGTTGGTGGGCGGCAGCGGATCCGGGAAGTCAACGGTGATCGCGCTGCTGGAGCGGTTCTACGACCCGGCAGCCGGGGAGGTGACCCTGGACGGCGTGGACATCCGGCGGCTGCGGCTCAAGTGGCTACGCGCGCAGATGGGGCTCATCAGCCAGGAGCCAGCGCTGTTCACGATGTCGATCCAGGAGAACATCCTGTTCTACAAGGAGGACAGCCACGTCGACAGCATTGACACCGCCTGGGCTGTTTAGGACATACATGGGCCGGATTAAGTAGATTGAGGAGCCAACTGTGCGATTTAATAGTTTAGGGACCCAGACGAAATCAACCCAATACTTTAAGGACCGGCCATGCAATTTACTCTTAATGAAACATCTATGCAATTTGTGAACCAGAAAAGGAGCAACCAAAACTCTATCAATAGAGGAAAGCAAGAGATGGGGTCCAAAGTAGGAACTAGATCAATTGCTCAAATTGCTTATGATCTGGTGAGTAAAAAAATTACCAAAAATATTTTTTTATCTGCTACACATTGTTCTAAATTAGTGAATATATGTTTCTTTATTCCAATGTAGCGAGACCCAGAAACTGGTGAATGGCCTACTGCTATGCAAGTTTGGAGGGCTACATACCAAAAGGCTGATGGGACATGGTCTATTTCAACGGGTGAAGAAATAATGGTATGAACATGTTACTTCCCTTTGTGATGGCATCTTTGGGTTTCACATTTATATCACCTTTTGAATTAGGATTAGGTGGAAGTGGTGTGCTTTTGTATGAAAAAATATCATAGTAGAATTATGTATCACTCTTTCATGGTTATTGTCTCTACAACATAGCTTCTGATGTATTGTTCATTTAATGAATTGAAAATTCTGGCCACCATAATGTGTGTGCAATATATGACATGTTATAGCTCTAGCCATGAACAATTTCGTTTTATTAAGCTGTTTGTAAATTTCATATATTATTTAATTTGTCTGCAAATTTCATTTATTAGATGATATGTCTGCTGAATTTTTTTGAACAGCAGCAACTCACAACATGTGCATGTTACACTATCCTAGAGCAAATTTGTGCTCATACTTACTATTCATTAGTTGAACATTTTTTCTTGTTGTGTAGTATATGGGTTCTTAATTAATTTGTTGTTTCATGCTTTGCAGACCAAACTACAAGAAGTTGTTGGGACACATCAAGAAAAGATATCTTCTGCGCCCCTGTCAATAGTGGAGCACTTCACACTAGTTCTTGGTCGAATGCCAAACCATTCATGTGGTGTCGGCATTCGTGCTGTAAACCGAGTCGCCGGGGAAAGGATCAGATTGCAGGCACAAATCGAGGCTTATGAATAGCGTGAAGCTGCAGCTCGAGCACGTGCAGATGCTGCTGAGTAACGTGAGGCTGCTGAGCAACGAGCACAAGCTTTGGAAGGCCAAGTCTCGACGGTGGTCGAAACAAATGCACAGTTACAAGAAGGGCAGCAACTCCAACGAGATGAGCTTACTTCTTTGCGTCAAACACAGAGTGGAGAAGTTGCGTGTCTAGTGAGAGAACAACTTGATCAACAAATGGCGGATTTCTTTGCACACATTCAATCTGGTGCTTCACAGTCTCCACCATAGAGTTTAATACCTATAGTTGAATAAATTATTTGAGATTTGAAAGTAGTGCGTGAGTTATTTTGAGAGTTCCAAGTGTTATTAATTTTTGTATATTGCTGGATTGCAACATTATCATGGTTAAAGAATTATTGAAATAAATACTATTGGTCTACAGTTGTGAGAATTGTATTGGTACATATTTGTCCAGCCATTTTTGTCACTACAACATGCGTGATAATGATAAATCGTTTGCCACATCATCTATTGTTCCACACAATTGAGGCTTTATCTTGTGAGAAAACTTGTCATAACTAATATTTTCACACAAATGCTATGTTTTTTGTGATGAAATTATCGACACAACATGTCTTATCAATTCTCATAAAAAAATCATATTGTGAGGAAAAGTTTTGCCTCTGTAATATATATGTGAGGATGAGTTACATCACAAATAAAATGCATTTGTGTTGATAAGGCGCCAATTTTTCCCATATAAGCTATGGCGATCAACTAGACACAATTGAAACTAAAATAGTGAGAACAAATTTCGACACGGTAAACTTGTATAATGGCAAAACTTTGGTCACTGATATATAGTCTTTAGTGACCATATAATTCATCACTTTTACAATGGTAACTATGACGACCAAATTGCCATAAATACTCTATAGTTGTATCAACTATTATAACCACTAAAAAACATTATAAGTGGCAATTTTTCTGCCACTAATACATATGTCTTTTGTGGCAACGACTGGGGCCACAAATGGCCACTTCACTAGTGGCACCACAGTTCGTCACTAATGAGTATGGTTATTTGTGGGGAATGAAAAATCATCACTAGAGTATTTGTGAGACGAGTATCTGGTGGGGGATGCACGTTGGCATTGTCATTGGAAGGTTTCTACAACTAGCTCATCTTACTTGCCAAATCAACAACATCATTCAGATGTTTGTTCAGATGGATCAACTTAGAAGCCAACTCAGCACCACGCTTTGCTATGATCACCTTTGCTTGATCTTTCATTGCCTGCGCAAGCTTATCAAAATCTTTCTCCACCAAAGAATTATAATGCGCTAATAGAACTTGGTATTCTTTAGGAAGGGACTGCAATAAAATAATATATGCAATGTCAAACATAGAAAATTGCAACATATATATACATATACAATAATTGCACAATATAAAAATAGGGTCACTGACACATGTAGGAAATGACACTGCAATATATGAAGTGGGGTAAATGAAACATGGAAAAAATTACACTACAACATATGAATGCACATTGTGCAACATGTATGGAAATTATGAAAGGGTTTTGACAAAATCACCCCAATGGCAACCGCAGGAGTATCAACTGGACGGTGGCTAGAAGTGCCTGGGCAATCTAGCCAGGCCTTAAGACTTGGTTGCACGGGCTGCTCTTCTTCTTCTTCAGGCATTGGCGGCGGGGGTGGAATGTAACCAGTCATGGGCACTAGGGTAGGGTAGGGTAGGGGCTGGTCTTTCGGAACTAACAATGAATGAAGATATATTATGTCAAGAAATAATGTAATGACTACAAGAAATGACTAAAGATGAATGAAGATGAAAAAAGGCATCAAACTCACAGGTTGCGGCCCATATGCATTAAGTTGCAGCCTACTCCTGTCAACCTTTTCAATGAATTTAAAGTCATTGTTGGTGACATGGCAAATGTGTAGAACAAAATAATTGATCTTGTGAGTAGCCCGGTCAGCAGGTATGTCAAGGTGTCCGTGTAAGCAATCTATATACAACCAAAAAAACATGAAGGCCCAACATTAGGAAATCGGGCCTGCAGTATATGGAAGCACATGTAATGAAACATGTATAGATAGCTACTGCAACACATGAGGTAGTACCAATGAAAACAGTAGAAAAATCAGGGCTAAAGTATATGGAAACATATGTACTGAAACATGTATAGATATATAGCTACTACAACACATGAGGTAATACAATTGAAACAGTAGAAAATCAGGGATGGAAAACTCACACATGACAAGTAAAGCACTAAAACCAGCCTCTTCAATCCACCCTATCTGATCTTGACTGAACTCGTGGTCACGGATCCTGTGGACTAAAAATCTTGTTGTGAAGGGGTCGCCATTGCCTTTGCCTTTGGTTTTGGGAGCATTAATTCCTACGTAAAAAAGATAAAGAAACAACATATTAAAATTAAATCCGAAAATTGGGGTACATAGTTCATAATAACACATAAAAAAGTAGACACAAGTTGCTACATGTTCCAACACGCAGGTGGACAGCATAGATGCACCGATAACACATCACATTTAAAAAATGAAACATGCCAATATATAGACGCCCTATAGCTGATTGTTGCAAAAAAAATATGAAGAAGGCATGAAACACTGGACATATCATGGTGAAACAACGCAGGACAGCATAATGAAACATATTCAAAGTTTTTATCCAACACTAACCCAGCAGGAATCAACATACATGTTCAAAGTTGCTATCCAACACTAGCCCCAGTAGGAATCAATATACATTTGACCATATATGATAAATAGAAAATTCATTGGAGATGCAATAAAGAGTAATGGCATGTCTGATCTTAAGATTTCAATTATATTCTCTCAATATCTGCAGTCACTGGACATATGCATCTACTGCCTAGCAAGCACCACCAACATACATTGAACACACTATCATCCTGTGTGTTGCATTTACAAATTCTGAAAATGTGCATATGAGATGCTTCAGGTACCCAAGAGCTACATGTTCGACGCCATACCTTGCTGGTCCGGGACCTTCTTCATTGGAGATTTCTTCACAGGGATGTTGGTTCGTCCTTTGCTCGAAGATGCTTGGTCTGCCTTGCTGTTGGGGACCTTGCTCGCTGCCAGACCCCCTCGTGCCCTGCTGTTGGGGACCTTCCTCGCTGCCAGACGCCCGCGACCATGTCCCCGCCCAGCATCTGCCTCCTCGTCGCTATTGCTGGGCGAGTTGCCCCTGACGGGCGACACATCCCTGCCTGATCTCGTATGCATCACTCGAAAATGGTGTTTGGTCACGGTGGAGAAGGAGGAGAGGGCGGGAGGCAGGCAACCAGTGTGGTACATGCACCGCTAGGGTTCGGGTGACAGGCAACCGTCGCAATCCCTATGAAGGCGGGCCGCGCGATGGTCGCCACGACGGTAGGATGGCACCGTGGAGACAGTCAGCGACGGTCGGGGCGGAGTGGAGCGGCACGGTGGACCGGTCGTTGCAGGCAGACGCCGCGGTGGGGGCGTACGGCGAGCGGGCTAGGCGGGCGGCGCGGTGAAGGCTGCCGCGGCGAGTGGATGGCGCCACGCCGCGCAGTGGAGTCCGCGGACGGCGAGGTGGATGCGGCCACGGCCGTGATCTGGTGAGGTGCCGATTCAGAGTGAGTGAGGAGTGGGGAAAACTGTTCCCTGAGTGCCTGGGCCGCCCGTCCGCAGGCCCAGCGAGGATGCGTCCGAACGCGCACGGATCGGCCGGACGTCCTCACCCAATCAATGGCCCTGTTCGCTTCTCTTATAATCCGTCTTTTTCAGCTTGTTTTTTCAGCCGAAACAGTGTTTTTCTCTCACAACAAATCAGCCGGAACAGTGTTTCGGCTTGTTTTTTCAACGAAGCGAACGGAGCCAATATCGTTAAAGTAACGGTCGTGTTTCTCCTCGATCTCTTCCTCACATAATGACGTAACTATTCCCATGGATGTGGAATATGAGCATTGAGCAGATGCAAAATCAAGGTAGCATTCGGGTTCCTTTTGTGAACTCCAACGCTCAATAACACCACTGCCCAAGTCTTCTCCAAATTGCATGGGTAGTTCCTTGGCTTTCCTCTAATTTAAATTTTATTACCTTGCACATCCTATTTTAGATTCAATGTTGCCTTTTTTTTCTTAAATCATCACCGAATTCATTAGTGTTATTCACGTCTGCTGGAGTCTAGATTCATAGTTGCATTTTTTTAATCGCAACTGAATTCATTATAATGTTGTGCATGTCTGTTGGAATATTGCACCATAGTGTGTCAAGCCTCCCCCCACCCCACCCCTCCAAAAAAAAACTATCCGGTGATCTGTTCATGATCTTAGGCTTACACCTCAAGCCACTATAAAACACTTCATTTAATTTGGTTGTTTCCATTTGATGACATCAACAGTGATGCCAAGAATTTTCGGCCATGAACATATATGTATATAGAGAGCGACTCGTTGAGCTTAGGGCTACAGTGAGAGAATAAATTGAGATGGCGAGGGTTAATATCTTGAGACCAGTCGTGATTAAGGCATTAAGCACATGTTTGGGCAGTACGCCAGTACTCTGCAGTCTGCACCAGTGTAGTTGCAGCAGAAGACTGAGCCCTTGTTTAGTTTCATGAATTTGGATTTTGGGGTACTATAGCATGTTTGTTTTTATTTGGCAAATAGTGTTCAAACATGGACTAATTAGGCTCAAAACGTTCGTCTCGTAATTTTCCACCAAACTGTGTAATTAGTTTTTCTTTTCGTCTACATTTAATGCTCCATGCACGGGCCGCAAACATTCGATGTGACAGGTACTGTAGCAACTTTTTGGAATTTGGCCTCCAACTAAACACGGCGTGAAATGATAATAATCATTCACACCAATCTCTGTATAATAACAAGTACGTACATGACAACATCAAACCTAACAAGCCTCTTGTCCACTTAGCTTGTATGGAGCACCCCCCTGTATATTCACAACTTTAG